CGGTAGGGGAAGAGACGGTAGAAGGGGACTGACTCGTCGAACGTGACGTCCTGGGAGGACAGAACACGACGAGAGGAGGGGTGGTAAAACTGCCACCCTGGGGCGTCAGTGGGGAAGCCAAGGAAGACACAGGGAGCAGCACGAGGGGACAGCTTGTCCGCAGACAAGTCGCGGACAAACGCCCGAGATCCCCAGACACGGAACACAGACGCATCGCCAACCTTCCCTGTCCACAGCAAGGCTGGGGACATCGCAGGCCGAGAGACCCGGGGGTGAAGGTTGAGCTGATGCGCCGCGTACCTCACCGCAAACGGCCACAGAAAATGGGGGGCAGCCGCATGCATCATGGACGTACGAGCGACATCCATGACCATGCCAATGCGGCGCTCAGCAATCCCATTTTGCTGTGGTGAGTCCGCAAGCGTGAAGGACTGGCGGATGCCTCGCGCACGACAGTAGGCACGCAGAAGGCCAGAGGAGAACTCTCCGCCTCTGTCCGAGTGCAGACGCAGAACAGGAAAGTCCGAGCCGAAGCTCTTCCTGAGCCGGAGACGAGCCTCGCGGATCCAATCGATCAGCACCTCAGTGACCTCACCCTTGCTGCGCAAGGGGAGGACTGTGGTGTAACGCGAGTAGTCGTCAACCACCAACAGGAAGTAGCGCTCGTAATCCTGCCCACGGACGGGGGCTGGGCCCCACACATCCATGTGAAGCGTCTGCAGGGGAGCCTCTGTCGGGGGGAAGTGGGAGGAGTGAGGAGTAGCCCGGAGGCGACCCTCGACACAGGGGACACAGGAAGGTCCTGGCCCGGAGGGGAGAGGAGGGAGAGACTGGGGAAGACCAGAGACAAGGACACGGGAAGCCATGCTCCGAAGACGGGGCAAGGAGGGGTGGCCAAGACGGTGGTGCCACAGGAGAGTCTCGTGAGACAGGAGGCGACAAGTACAGGGGGCAGACTCAGGACCAGACCTGGACGCAGCAGCAAACACCTGACCCGACGCTGCTACCTGACCGGACGCGGGGACAGGAGGAGACTGAGTGGTCAGGGTGTAGAGGCTCGACCCCGGCCGACGCGAGAACGTGGCCAGGTGCCGGCCTGTGCGTGCGTCCGTGCAGTGGGTCACCCGCTGACTCGCAGGAGTGAACTGGTGAACCCCCGCATCCTGTAGGTCTGCACCACTCACCAAGTTCGTCGAGAACGAGGGGAGGTACAGGCCAGACAGGGTGCCCGAGGGGGCAGCCGGACACGGGAGGACAGTGGAGAAGTGAGCGAGGACAGGACCCCCAGAGGGGTCAGCCAGGGAGACTGCAACCGGCCGACCAAGCGGCGTGAGTGTGGTGCGGTCCCGAAAGAAGGAGCGAGAAGCCCCAGAGTCAAGTGTAAAGGTGAGGGAGGCCGAAGCCAACGCGGTACCTGAGAGCGCAGCCTCACCCGCACTTGAGGAAGCAGACTCACTAGCACCTAGAGCAGCAGCCGCACCTGTACCTGGAGCAGGAGACTCACTAGCACCCAGAGCAGCAGCCTCACCAGTAGCTAGAGCAGCAGGTCCTATACCTGGGTCAGGCGGGACGCACAGGTGACCTGCACGGTCAGCACTAGTAGGCAATGCATACATGGCAGTGAGAATAGCATCATAGTCAAGAGCATATATATCTACCCTCTGCCTAAGCAACTCCACCCAGTCGGGAAGCTCAGCCTCGTCGCCAAACACGGTACGCCAGGCGTCGCTCAGACGGGCGAAGCAGCGGGACGGTGTATGACTACGTGTCCCACAAGGCTGACCAGTCCGAGTACCAGTGCGAATCACGTAAGAGCAGCGAACAGCACTGAGAGACCCTCCACTCTGAGCGTACCACTCACGAAGCTGGCGAGGCGTGAGAGACACGCGAGAGGGTCGCGGGAGCTGCATCTGGCCGCCACCACGAGTAGAAGCAGCAGGAGTGGTAGTAGGAGTAGCGTCGCCACCCCTACAGCCCCAACCAGCGTACCACTCACGCAGCTGCTGCGGCGTGAGGGACTCACGCCGGCGTCGCTGGGGCTGCATTTGGCTCCGCAAGTAGAAGCAGGAGCAGGACTAGCAGCAGGGAGGCAGGCAGCCAGGCAAGCCAAAAGGCAGGCAGGCAGGCAAGCAGGCGACGCGCAGCGTGCTAGCAGGGCAAGAGCTCACCAGTGGTGGGAAGAGTAGGTTCGGCGACTCAGCGGCTCGGCAGCTCGGCGGCTCGGCGGCTCGGGCGACTCGGGCGGCTCGGCGGCAAGGCGGCTCAGCAGCAACTGCAGCTCAGTAGCTCGGTGACTCGGCGGCTCGGCGGCAGGGCGGCTCGGCAGCAACTGCAGCTCAGCAGCTCAGCGACCCGGCGGCTCGGCGGTGGGGCGGCTCGGCTGCTGCAGTGGGAGATGAAGGAGGAGGAGAAGCAGGGGAGGCCACACACCTGCCACCCCTCTGCTGGCCTCTCAAGCGGCCCCCTCAGGTCGCCTCGACAGGCGACGGGAAAAGGGGGGGTGGGTGGTGGGGGGGCCGGTAGGTGCAGCGGCGGGGCCAGCAGGTGCAGTTGCGGGGCCGGTAGAAGGGGACGGCAGGAGCCGTCAGGAGGGGACGGCGGGGCCGTCAGGAAGGGACGGCGGGGCCGTCACAAAGGGACGGCGGGGCCGTCAGGAGGTGACCGGGCCGCGACGGGGGCAGGCGGCGGGGCCGCGTAAGGGCCTGGGCGGGGCCGCGACAGAGCCGTCGGCGGGGCCGCGTGAAAGCCGGGGCGGGGCCGCGTAGAAGCCGGGGCGGGGCCGCGCGAGAGCAGGCGGCGGGGCCGCGAAGGAGCCGGGGCGGGGCCGCGTGAGAGCAGGCGGCGGGGCCGCGACAGAGAGGGCGGCGGGGCCGCGTCAGTGAAGGCGGCGGGGCCGCAGGGGAAATGGCGACCCGAGGGGTCGCTAAAAAAAAGATCGCGCCTCGGGGGGCGCTTCGGTGGGCCCAAAAAAACGGTCCGTAGAAGGACCCGCTCTATACCATGTGAGAATAAGCGAACAGGAATGAATGAACTAGCAGTGAAATGAGTACAAGTAGGAAACCCTAGAATTGTGTACCCCCTATAGGCTAACCCACTGTAGCCTACACAAGCATAACATATATAATGTTTGACAAATGTAGCCTACACAAGCATAACATATATAATGAGTACAAGTAGGAAACCCTAGAATTGTGTACCCCCAGTTGTTGCTGATTTGTCTGTGTCGAGGGAGAAGGTGTGCGCGGCGGTATCACGGCTTTTCTCAGCCGGTTGTCCAGGTTGTGCTGGTTGGGAAGAGATTCCCGCATCGCCTTTGCGCAGTTCTTGGAGTTCTTTCTCCATAGTTGAAAGTCGAGCGAAAAGTTGCTCGAGGGCGGCAGTGCCGATCGTGGTTGTCGCCTCACTTGTCGCAGCTGGATTGGGTTGTCCTTCAGCCGTCAGATTTGCTTGGCCTCCGGATCCTCCGGCCATCTTGGTCTTGGAGCGTGTGCCGCTCGCCATATTTTGATTTGGCGAATTTACTGAAGTGAAGTTGCGAAGAATCCCTGAGTAGCTCTCATACCATGTTACAATCCCAAGTGGGACTTAGCGAAGGATCGCTCAGGGTTGATCGCGGGGTAGTTGCAGCGGAAGTTTGAATCTCAGGTCAGAGTGAATGTAAAATTGCTGAGTTGATAATAGCATGCATACATCGAGTTTATATAAGAGTACAAGGGAATACGAAAGGACCTAGCTAGCCATGTACTCTAAGGGGTACATTCCCTTATTGCAACTAAATTTCAGAAACCGTGCGGCGCGGGAAACCCGTTCAAAAACCGTTCCTGCTCTTTTCTGCCTGCATCGGTCTTGATCTGACGGTTAGTGCGTTGCTTCGGCTCTTCTGACTCTTCAGCTTCATACTCGGTAGAGTCGGCTCCTGCAACGTACAGGAATGCCTTCTCATAAAACTTCGCATCGTAACAGAGTTGAAGGTAGATCAATGCCCTCAAAAAAGGCAGCAAAACAGTGGACAGCAGCAGCAGCAGTGTTACGCGCTTTAGCCTCCAGAGAGTGGCGTGCCAGTGCCAAGGTGCTTATGTAAGTTTCAGTTCATGATGGTATTCCGAGGGCTTTGGAATAAAAATGGGGATTGTCTTGTATCATAAGATCTATAATGCAAATAAATCCTGCATGCACAATCTAAGTATGATGGTGAATGCTGAACATGTAAATAAATCTGTAAGGCAGTCTATAGAAACATATGGTATACGTATTTATATATAATAAATTCGAAAAGAACAGAATCTGGTAGCTCAGACCAACAACGACCAAAAGGTGATGCTGGAAATTGAAAGCTACAATCAGTAAGTGAAAACTCAGACAGGGAGGCCCCTGAACATGCAGTTTGGACCGCGTGTGCAAGTTGTAGCTAGGCATCACGATTCACCACAAGTGCAGGACGTGCCTTTCTCCCTCCTAGAGCTTGGCCTTGATCATGCAGTTTGGATTAAACTTGGACTAAGCTCCGCGTGTGCAAACTGCGGCTAGGCGCCACCACAAATGCAATAAGTGCCTTTCTCCCTCCTCTTTTCGCCTTCGCTTCACCACTAGGAAGAACTTTCGACTCGCTCCGAGTTCAGCTGTTGCAAAACGGCTGGGACTAGAGATAGTAACAGGATGATTTGACGAAAGAGAATCCTGAGAAGGCCTGGAAGGATGATTTATTCTGATGGTTCGAGCAGTGAGAGGAGAAGCAAGTGGGAATGCACAGTAAGGCAGTGAAAGCGCAACAGCAGCTACAGCAGCACCAGCAGCCGTTGCAGGTGCAGTAGCAGAAGCAAGAGCAGCAGCAGTAGCAGAAACAGCAGCACCATGACCAGCAGCACCAGCTGGGACCGTTGTTCCCTGGCAAGCCTCAGCAGCTTCACCAGCTATTCTATCAAAAACATTTCTCGCCGGCCTGCCTAGTGCACCTGCAGCCGCAGCAGCACGGTTGTCAGCAAAGGAACCTCCATGCCACGATGCCCTTTGTGAAAGGGGCTCGTAACTGCTTCCTCCCAGGTGAAGTGACTTCAACCCCCCAGGTGTCGCACCTGGCACCTCACTGGCAGGGAGAGTTGGGCTACCTGGGCTACCGGGGCTATCTGGGCTACCGGGGCTATCTGGGCTACCGGGGCTATCTGGGCTACCGGGGCTATCTGGGCTACCGGGGCTATCTGGGCTACCGGGGCTATCTGGGCTACCGGGGCTATCTGGGCTACCGGGGCTATCTGGGCTACCGGGGCTATCTGGGCTACCGGGGCTATCTGGGCTACCGGGGCTATCTGGGCTATCGGGGCTATCTGGGCTATCTGGGTTAAGGTTCCAAGACACCCGCTTTCCGGGCCGTGGAGAAACCCTGGTGGTGCTGGCAGATTTGAGGATGGAGGGGCACGCAGGTGATTCCCTGCTGGAGGCGAATTTAGAACAAGAAGAAGAGGCGGTGATGCTGGTAGATTTGAATATTGAACGGCGCGCGGAGGTGGATAGGGATGAGGTGGAGGAGTGAGAGGGAGTGAGAGGAGGGGAGGTGGGCCTTGGAGAAACCGCGGAGGTGCTGGCTGATTTGAAGAAGGACCGGTGAGCAGAAGGGGAGGAGCTGAATCTTGGAGAAGAAACTGCGGTGGTGCTAGGAGGTGATTTCAGACTGAGGCTTTGAGCAGAAGAGGAACCGAATTCAGGAAAAGAAGTCGTGGAGGCAGCAGGTGATTTTGAAATGGAGCAGGGAGGAGAGCGGGAGGCGAAGTCTGGAGAAGAAGCGGAGGAGGTGCTAGCAGGTGATTTCAGACTGGCGCCGCGAGCGGCAGGGGATAGGGAGGCGGTGGAGGAGTGAGAGGAAGTGAGAGAAAGGGGATCGGATGAGGGGGTGAGAGGAGGGGATCGAGACGAGGGAGTGAGAGGAAGGGATAGAGGAGGGAGGTGTGACTTTATGGTAAACCCGGGAGGAGGGTGGCCAGGCTTGAGAAGAGAGGAATGGGCTGGGTGTGTAAAAGGCCGTGTTACACTGCTTGTTACACTTCTTGCTACAATTTCTGCCACAGCATGGCGATTCGCAGCAACTGCAGCAGCTGTAGCAGTGACTCATGTAACAACTTGTGACTTGACGGACTCGGCAGCCGTTTGAGACGTCTCAATTGCTGCTGCTGTTGACTTCACAACTTTCGACTTTACAGCTTCCGCCGCTGCCGCTGCAGCTGCTGCTGCCGCTGCTGCTGCAACCTTAGCAGCAGAGACCGCAAGCTGTCGAGAGCTATGATGCCCGTCTTTGTGCTGCACTGTGGAGGTTAAGTCGTGACTGTGCCGGAGGTTAAGTCGTGATTGTGCCGCCCGTCTTTGTGCTTCATCGTTGCAGCAAGGTCGTGGCTGTGACGCGAGTCTTTGTGCTTCATCATGGAAGGAACGTCGTGAGTGTGAAGCCAGTCTCTAAAGTCGTGGCGGTGAAGCCACTCCTTGTTCTTTATCATAGATTCAAAGTCATGGTCGTGGTGCTTGCTTGCCTCTCTCCTTGCAACACCACCTTCCACCCCTCCTTTTCCCCCTCCTCCTACTCCTTCCCTGCTTCCTCCTCCTCCACTCTCTCCCACCCCATGAGAAGAGACCATCCTCGGAAGCCCATAGCTCTCGGGAGGATTGATCAGCCTCCAAACGCCCGTGTCCCTGAGATTCGTATCAGATCTGCTTTGGGGGATTTGAAACGCTGCCCGGCTGGGACCCGCGACCTTGGACGATAGTGAATGTGACTTAGGCAGTACTAAAGGCGAGGGAGAAATAAGTGGAGGAGAAGAAGAAGAAGAAGAAGAAGAAGAAGAAGAAGAAGAAGAAGAAGAAGAAGAAGAAGAAGAAGAAGAAGAAGAAGAAGAAGAAGAAGAAGAAGAAGAAGAAGAAGAAGAAGAAGAAGAAGAAGAAGAAGAAGAAGAAGAAGAAGGAGGAGGAGGAGGAGGAGGAGGAGGAGGAGGAGGAGGAGGAGGAGGAGGAGGAGGAGGAGGAGGAGGTTGAGAAGGAGGGGAGGAAGGGAAGGACCAAGAGGAATCCGGCTGGGCACTGGCAGAAAGGCATGAAGGAACAGGGGGGCTGCAAAAAAGCTTATTCTGCTGCTGCTGCTGCTGCTTCCGCTGTTTCTCGGGCAGGTGAGAGCTGCCTGGGCGCTTGAGCACGGGGCGGCGCAGAGTGGGGCAGAGGATGCGCCACGTGCTGTGCGCGTACAGCACCGTTTGCTCCGCTTCCCTCGCTTGCTCGGCTGCTCTCTCCGCCTCCTCTGCCTCTCTCGCCTGCCTGGCAGCTTGCTCCGCTTGATCCGCCGCTTCCTCCGCTTTTCTTCCAGACTTCCCCCATTCCTCCTCGGGTTCGGGTTCCTCCTCTCTTAACGTCACGCGTCCGATCAACGAATCTCGACCGCCGATTCTAGAGGTTCGTGTCAGGGCTCCTCCTCCTCCGCTTCCGCCGATTCCGCCGTTTCCGTCGCCCCACGCGCCCCTCTCGAGGCTCTTAGTTCGCAAGCCTTCAAGACCGAAAGGCCTTCCCGCGCTTCTGGCCAGTTCACATGCAGGAGCACATTTATATAAAGGGCCAAACAAGCAAGAGCAGGAGTATATATATATGTGACAGTACAAGCAAGGTCAAGAAGTGAGCAAGTGCGGCAAGACAGGCACAAGACCAAGCTGAGTACAGAAGCGCTGATGATCACAAGGCGCAAGTGCCTTAGCAAAGATATCAGCAGTGTTGGCCTCAGAGGCCACGTACGCAAGTCGCAACAGACCACGCTGCTGCAGCTCACGAGCAAGAAAGTAGCGGAGAGCAATGTGCTTCGTTCTGTGCTCCAGGCGCTGCTCCCGACACAAGGCCAGCATGGCCTTGTTGTCTACGTACAGCACTCGAGGAGAACGAGGCGGCTCTCCGAGGTCAGTCAGCAGGTAGGTGAGCCAGCGAAGCTCCTGAGCAGCCATGGCTCCGGCGTAGATCTCAGCCTCACAACTGGAGCCGAGAACGGAAGACGAGCTAGTAGCCCGCCACGAAACAGAGCCGGAACCAAGGCTGAAGGTGTAACCCTGTGACGACCGCTGTGTAGCCTGGTCGTCAGCCCAAGAAGCGTCTGCGTGCCCAGTGAGGACCACTGGACTCTGCCCTCCAAGCACTAGCCCCATGCCCAACGTACTGCACAAGTAGCGCAACACCCTCTCCGCTGCAGCCATGTGCTCCGGTCTGTGTCTCCCAGGAGCAACATAGCGTGCAAGAATGCTAAGAGGGTATGCAAGGTCAGGTCGTGTGCAGGTCATCAGGTACATGAGGCAGCCAACAAGCTCTGGGTACGGGCCACTCGACTCTACGGACTCATCCGAAGGCAGAGCTGAGAGCGAGTGGCGAGTAGGCAGAGGAGTGGCCTGAGGCGAGGAGTACGTGAAGCCGAAGCGCTGAAGGACCTGCTGCACCATGTGTGACTAAGTCAGGGTAATGGTGCGGCGTGCTCTGTCCCGGGTGATCTGCAAGCCAAGGTAGCTGCGCAGTTCACCCAGGTTTGTGCACGTGTGTCTCTTCTGCAGCTCGGACTTCACGTGGGCGAGTCCAGCAGTGTCAGCAGTGGCAAAGACCAAGTCGTCGACGTACACGAGGATGTAGAACGGCGGCAAAGAGGTGTCGGTGCGTAGAAACAACGACGGGTCGGCAGTAGAGGGAGCAAACCCAAGAGCCGCAAGCGTAGTCCTCAGTGTGTCGTGCCACTCACGCGGTGCCTGGCGGAGACCGTAGACTGGTCGTCGGAGGCTCCACTGGGTGCCAGGAGGAAAAGTCCCAGTGAAGCCAGGTGGACGGCGCAGCCAGATCTCCTCGTGCAGGCTACCCTGCAAGAAAGCAGTGCTGAAGTCAAGGGAGTGAAGCTCGTAGTCATGCTGAGCGGCTATGTGCAGCAGCACCCGAAGAGTGGTCATCTTCGGGGTGGGAGAGAAGGTCTGAAAGTAGTCAACTCCCTGCCGCTGACTGAAGCCACGAGCCACGTACCGCGCCTTGAAGACAGGTGGAGAACCTGGCGGCCGCTTCACCCTGAAGATCCACCAACCACTGACGATGTTCGCCCCAGGTGGGGGAACCTCGTCAACGTAGGTGCCTGTGGACTTCCAGGAAGCCATCTCTGCATCCATAGCTGCCTGCCACTAAGAGGAGTAGGGACCCTCTACGGCCTCCGCATAAGAGCGCGGAGTCGGGATGTCAAGTGCATACGGGTCTCCCTCAGGGGTAAGCAGTACGGACACGAGATGAGGTGAAGCAGCAGCCAGACACTGGAACTCCTCCTGCCTGTCCTCAAGGATGTCCGTGCCAAGAGCACACTCACCCCCGACGGACGGAGGACAAACAGACGCAGACTCAGCAACAAGACTAGCAGCGTAGTCTAGACGACAGCGAGCAGCAAAGTCGACGAGCTTAGCAACAAGAGCAGACACGGCAGTGGACTCAAAGGAGGGGTCAGTGACGACAATAGCAAGGAGACGCGTGACAGTAGGACTGGCAGCACGAAGAGAGTCTGACTCCGGGTCGGCAAGTGCAGGAAGAGAGGACTCGGGAGGAGAATGCAAAGGGGCACGCAGAGGAGCAGTGGACGGACGGAGAGACATCCGGTGCGTGCTAGGGAGAGGAGGAGGACGCTGACGCGAACCGCGACCACAAGCGCGAGCAGCACGAACAGGCGACGCAGGACGAGACGCAGGCTCATGACGCTCAGCAAGACCTCCAGTAGGACCAGTGTACGGAGAAGGAGCAGGCAGTGGGGAGGCCAGCGGTAACTGGGACTGTGACTGGATACGCGGTGGACACTCTAGGGAAGGAGGAAGACCAAGAACCTGCTGAAGGAGCGGAACGAAGTACGGCCGAGGCCGCGCGGCAACTCCAGACACAGCAGGGACAGCACTAGCACCCACAGCGGTAGCACCAGCGCCAACAGCACCTCCAGCTGCAGTACCTCCAGTAGCACCAGCAGCACCCGCAGCACACGCAGCAGGACCGCCGCCAGGACTGACAGCAGTAGCCTCAGCGCCAACACCCTCATTAGCTCCAGCTCCAGTCGTACCCACAGGCCCTGCAGCTCCAGCACTCCCAGGACGAGCACCTCCGGGACCAGCGGCACCAGCACCCTCAGCAGGTGAAGAAGCTCCAGCTCCAGTAGTACGCCTCCAGCGCCGGGCAAACCACTCGCGCAGCTCCTGTGGAGAGAGTGGCTCCCGCCGAGACGAAGCACCCGGAGAACTTCCAGGCCCAGCACCGCCAGACGCCACACTAGCAGGTCCAGCGGCCGCTGGCTCCGCACCTCCAGGCTCAGTAGCTCTAGACAGAGCACCCCCAGGCTCAGCACCCCCAGGCGTAGTACCCCCAGGCTCAGCACCCCCAGTCTCAGCACCCCCAGGCTCAGCACCCCCAGTCTCAGCACCCCCAGGCTCGGCACCCCCAAGCGCAGCACCCACTCGCGCAGCACCCCTAGAGCCAGCACCCCCAGCAGTACCAGAGTCACCAGCAACCTTGACCGGCTCGGCTGCGTCTACCTGGGACACACCTGAAGGGGCAGGACCCTGAGGGGGGAGGGGTTCTACCGGGGGGGGACCTGGCACAAGGAAGAGCGGAGGCGGGGGGAGGGAAGGAGTGCGGTAGGGGAAGAGACGGTAGTAGGGGACCGACTCGTCAAACGTGACGTCCTGGGAGGACAGAACACGACGAGAGGAGGGGTGGTAGAACTGCCACCCTGGAGCGTCAGGGGGGAAGCCAAGGAAGACACAAGGAGCAGCACGAGGGGACAGCTTGTCCGCAGACAAGTCGCGGAAAAACGCCCGAGATCCCCAGACACGGAACGCAGACGCATCGCCTACCTTCCCCGTCCACAGCAAAGCTGGGGAGGTCTCTGGCATGGAGACCCTGGGGTGAAGGTTGATCTGATGCGCCGCGTACCGAACCGCAAACGGCCACAGAAAATGGGGGGCAGCCGCATGCATCATGGACGTACGAGCGACGTCCATGACCATGCCTATGCGGTGCTCAGCAATCCCATTTTGTTGTGGAGAGTCCGGAAGCGTAAAGGTCTGGCGGATGCCTCGCGCACGGCAGTAGGCTCGGAGAAGGCGAGAGGAGAACTCTTCGCCTCGGTCAGAGTGCAGACGCAGAATAGGAAAGTCCGAGCCGAAGCTCCTCCTGAGCTGGAGACGAGCTGCGCGGATCCAGTCGATCAACACCTCAGTGACATCGCCCTTGCTGCGTAAGGGGAAGACTGTTGTGTGACGCGAGTAGTCGTCAACCACCAGCAGAAAGTAGCGCTCGTGACCCTGTCCACGGACGCGGGCCGGGCTTCACACGTCCATGTGAAGCGTCTGCAGCGGGGCCTCTGTCGGGGGAAACTGAGAGGAGTGAGGGGCAGCCCGTAGCCGCCCCTCGACACAGGGAACGCAGGAAGGACCAGACCCCTGAGGAAGGGGAGGGAGGGACCGGGGAAGACCAGAGACAAGGACACGGGAAGCCATGCCTCGGAGACGAGGCAGGTAGGGGTGACCAAGACGGTGGTGCCACAGGAGAGTCTCGTGAGACAGGAGGCGACACGAGCAGGGGGCAGACTCAGGACCAGACCTGGACACTGCAGCAAACACCTGACCCGACGCAGCTACCTGGCCAGACTCAGGGACAGGAGGAGACCCAGTGGTCAGGGTGTAGAGGCTCGACCTCGGCCGACGCGTAAACGTGGCCAGGTGCCGGCCTGTGAGAGTGTCCGAGCAGTGGGTCACCCACTGACTCGCAGGAGTAAACTAGTGAGCCCCCGCATCCTGTAGGTCAGCACCACTCACCAAGTTTGTAGAGAACGAGGGGAGGTAAAGACCAGACAAGGTGCCACAGGGGGCAGCCGGACACGGGAGGACAGTGGAGAAGTAAGAGAGGACAGGACCCCCAGAGGGGTCTGCCAGGGAGACTGCAACCGGCCGACCAAGCGGCATGAGTGTGGTGCGGTCTCGAAAGAAGGAGCGAGAAGCCCCTGAGTCAAGTGTGAAGGTGAGGGAGGCCGAAGCCGACGCGGTACCTGAGAGCGCAGACTCACCAGCACCTGAGGACGCAGACGCACTAGCACCTAGAGTAGCAGCCTCACCAGCACCTAGAGCAGCAGTCTCAATGCCCGGGTCGGGCGGGAAACAC